ACTCTCATGGTTTTGACGAAATTTGCATTTTAGTAATTTTGGAACATAAACAATAATTATTAAAATACAAACTTTGTCAAAACCATGAGAGTAAATCGAGTGATATCAAGGGTACTTTTTTGTAGTAAATGAGTACCCAATCCAAATTTCATACTCAAACCCCTTTTTTGCCGTTGGCGTAGAATTTTTAAAGGTGCAATTATTTAAAAAATCAAGTTCTACGCCTATGTATTATTATCGGACAAAATTTTATACGATGAACAACATAAAAATATACTTTTTTCGTATCTTCTTCAACACCTCTAATCGAGACTTTTAACAAAAATACTAGATTCTTGCCATGTACGATTTTTTGAGGAATATTAATTATTTGCCTGCAATACGTATACAAAAACATTTATTGTTGGTTTCCATAGTTTCAGCTAAATAAAAATATTTTCAAGTTTTAACACCTAATCTCTTGTTAACGATTGAAAGTGTTCTATCTGACTCAATAATTAAAAAAAACAAATGCGTGGTTTATTAATATGACTGTACAATATACCAATGCAGAATATACCGATATGTTACTGACATTAGGATTTTGTGAAGGAAATGCTCGAGAGAGTGTCAGGGTGTACTCTGAAAGGTTTCCAAATCGTCGTGTACCTAGCCACCCAACTTTTGCTGCTGTTGAGAGACGTCTTCGGGACACCGGTTCCTTTGCTCCCAACACTGTTGATAATGGAAGAGAACGTTTTGTAAAGATTCCTGAAGTTGAAGAAGACATTTTAGAACGTGTTGAAGAAGATCCAGAATTAAGCACCAGACGAATTGGAAGGGAACTAGGAGTAAGTAAAGATGTCGTTTATAAAGTGCTTAGAGAACAATTGCTATATCCATATCATAAGAAGCCAGTACAAGAATTATTAGTCCATGATCCTCAAATTCGTTTGGGTTTTTGTCGATTTGTTAATATGCAAAGAGAAAGAGATCCAAACTTTGTCAAGAAGGTTCTCTTTACCGATGAAGCGGGTTTTACAAGAAGAGGTATAACTAATACCCATAATAAACATGTTTATGCCGTTGAAAATCCGAATGCAATAAAGGTAAACCATTTTCAACACGAATTCAAAATTAATATGTGGGCTGGAATAATTGATAATTTCATTGTTGGTCCTGTCATACTTCCACGAAGATTAACTGAAAAAAATTATTTGGATTTTCTACAAAATACGTTGCCAGAATTGTTAGAAGATTTACCTCTCCAACTCCAACCAAGATGGAGCTTCACCACATTTTTCTTTAAACGTTAGAAACCACTTGAATGAACAATATCGACACAAATGGATAGGCAGAGGTAATGACGCACCTGTAAACTGGTCACCACGTTCCCCAGACCTAACACCGATGGATTACTTTTTATGGGGACATCTGAAATCCACAGTTTACAGGGAACCTGTAGAAAATGAGGAACAACTCTGGCAACGTATTCAAGATACAATAAACAATCTTAGAGGGGATGAAGAAGTTATGGATAGGATACATTTTAATTTTCTTCGACGTATAAATCTTTGTATGCGTGAAAATGGTGAACATTTTGAACAATTTTTGTAAAATCTCTATTTTGATTATGTTGTAAATAAATATTTTTGTGAAACCTATACACTCTAAATTATTAAAACAGAAATTTAGCGAAAACCATGAGAGTAATCGAGTCTTATCAAGAGTATCTTTTTTAAAGTAAATGAGTTGCGCAATCTAAATTTCATACTCAAACTTTTTTTCTTCCATTGGCGTGGAATTTTTAAAGGTGCAATTATTTAAAAAATCAAGTTCTACGCCTATGTATTATTATCTGACAAAATTTTAATACCATTTTTTTTGCCACATAAAACTCTACCAATATATCAAATTTCAGCAAAATCGCATATGCCGTTTTACATTTATATGGGAAAAACGATTTAAAAATTGTAACTTCAAGGCCCTCTGGAGCTCAAACGAAGCAACTATGTACTAAGGTAATTTTACTTAAATCGACTTATTTTGGTCTAAGGAATATGGAGTATGTTTTTGTGAAGACCTTTTACAGACACCCTGTATATCAAGAAGTTTTGTTAGAATTCCTCTGATGTTGTAAAAGTTTTGTAGATTTTTTAGAAAATCAAAAAAATAATTAATTAAAGTCTATAAACAACTGCAGAAAGCAACAATATTAAAATGATATTAGAGAATAATTACTCATGGGAATAAATCTTCAATGACTCATTAGGTCTTAGACAGATATAAAACTGATTTTTCTTGTCTTTTGTATTATTTTTCTTTTTAACTGCCTTCTCAAATTTGAGTTTTGAATGACACGTCATATTATTTTGTAATTTAGGTGTTGTTTAGTTATTATAGCTATATTCGTATATGTATAATAATTTTTAACGGCAATATTAATTCACGATTAAAAAAAATTATGTGAAAACTTTTTCAACATACCTTAAGTTAAAATTAATTTTAAACGAAAAGTGTCTACTCCCAAGTGACAACTTGATTTAAAATTTTATTGTCATAAATGTTAAACTAAACAGTACATGATGGAATTCAAAGAGCAGTATTCATGACGGCTTCTATAAATGACAGCTTACTTTCAGAAAACACTTCAAAGTCAACTTCGTACATCTTTCAGCTTATCGTAGTTACACAGACATCAACATGAAAAATTTCAATAATAAATAACCAACACATATTAGCATGCATCTTTCGTCCTCGGCACTCTTACCAAAACCTTAAGAAGCGGGATGATTGTTATACTCGAGGGAAAGCCCAAATAATGCACCCCTCAAGCTTCTGGGGTGCATTTTTTAGTGGTCGACCAAAAGGACGAATAAATATTGTTTTAGTGGAGTGCAATTTTCACTTTAGTGGCTGCTCGAGCACAGAATTAGGAACGCAGCTTTGGGCTATATTATTTCTATTGGATTCCTCGCTTCCACTGTTTCCATCGCTTCTCCTCCTTGAAAGCGAAAACTGAAATCTCTCGAATAAATCTTTCTGGGGTTATGAATGAAAACAATAAAACGCTTTTATTATCCCTTATAGTATCTGGACTGTTGCGAAAATATAGACAATATTTCATTTACTCGACACTCTCAATTAAACCTGGTCTTTTTCATTTATTTGATGGAATAATATTAACGATATAACCCAAGGTTGATATTTTCAAGATTTATTAATTAAATTTTATCTGAAGGGAATCTTAAAATATAAAAATATAAGGAAGTGGTCAATACAATAAAGTAACTAGACATGAAAATAAAGACTGTGCCACTACGACCTTTTGGAATCTCTTTCCATTTACCTTCTGCTATTTTACCTTTCTCTACCCATTATTGCATTTTATTATTAGTCAATAAGGCCATTACATATACTGAGTATTATTGAGTAATACATACACAACAAAAAAATAATAAAAATGTAATGCAAAACACGTTTTGATACCAGTGTCAAAACAGGGACACACCTGGTTTTTTTGTGAAAATTTCTGATAAATATGCGCCTTTATGGGCCTTGAGACTAAATAACTTACTCTCACAGCTTCAGTTAATTACTAACAAACTTATATATTTGTTAGTATTTAAAATATCTATACAAAATAGTTATTAAATATTATGATTTTTATTATGCAATGATACAACAGCAACAAAACAAAGAACAATGTTAGAAACTACACATTCCAATTAAAAACAACTCATGTACAGATTGCACATCAAAAGTTTGAAAACTTTTTAATTTGTTAGTTACTGATGATGACATTTGTAAATGACAAAATCAAAGCCTGCTTGGATAAAGTCATGTTTCTTAGTAATATACAGGGATTTTTAAAGGACTCGCATCACCTTTACTATAAACAATAGCTTAAAGCACCTTTTCTACTATACTATCCGTGGATTATTTACATGGACAGGATGTTTAAAAAGAAATAGCGGGAACACACCGACTCCGATTCTGATCGAACAAAATCTGCCATCCGTAGCGATTAAATTCCCTCAACCTCTCAAGTGAGACAACTTCACCAGAGAGAAATGGGAGAACAGAGGAAAGTGAAGAAGAGAAGCACCATCGCTTCTTCTTTTTATCTATCCTTACAACCTACCGGCGAAGGAAGCTCCTCCTAAAAAAGATCATCTTTATCTTTATCGGTTGTAAGCAGGTAGGGTTAGGTTTGGCCCAAAACACTGCAACTTCTTGGATTTATTGTATTCCCCTGCTTTCCCCGTGTTCAAGTACTATCTTTGGAATAGTTCTGTATCTTTGGTTAGTTTTAATAGGTTCCCTACCAAGTGTTCCTGGGGCGTTCTTTCTGGTTCTA